TGCTTAATTGTATGCTGTTCACTTTTACATAGATGGCATAAATCATCAGATATTATGTTGGCTCTTTTGAGTTTGCCTTTAGTGTAGATGATACTGTGGTTTATTTTGAATTGAAACACTATTAACTTTGTATTTTTGGTAATAGAAAAAGGCCAGTTATATAATTTGTGGATTTCAGAAGGTACTCCACTCCATAACTTATGAATAGATTTGGTTTTCATTGCTGGGTACTTGGAATTTGTTCTCAACAATAATTTGTGCAGAGCAGCGTTGGAAAGATTTTCTTCATTGCCAAACCTGTCCTGTTTCCATGTTTGCCCCTGTCCATAGCTACCAGTAGATGAAATTTCCCTTTTAGTGAAGCTCCGGCAGCCCAAAGGGCCACCACGCGGAGCCCCATACCCATACGGGAAAGAAAAGGAAACCCATGAATTGATTTCCCCATGGTTATCATGGCTGGCGGTATTGCTCGTGGGTGTGTACGCACTAAGAAGGAGTCATGCAAGATGGCGACCTTACTCCAGCTACATGTAATAGGTTGAGAGAGACATACACCCTCTGTTTCTAGCGTCCCTCTTTGATATTGGACATCCATGTTATAGTCAATTGACACCTGTCAAAACAATCTATCCGCTAAGCAGTATCACATGACCATATCGCAGGCTCAAGTTTAGAGCTCAGAAAGGTCACATGTTTTTTTACAGTTGACCGCTGACCAAGTGCTGGGTTTTTTTTATAGGATTGCGGGCTCATGTCAGGTTAACTTGTTCGCCAGGTTGTTTGGAAGCCAGTTAACGCTGACCCAGGATTATAAAAGTTAACCGAAGTATAATTTTTCTTGTACATGTCTACAAATGTTTTTGACTGCTTTTGTTTTGTGTATTTTCGTGACCTTGACATGATTCAAACTCAAAACAAGAGGCCAAACAACAGAAACAGAAAACCTCGCTGTAAAGTTACAAAACTCAATCAAAATTCTCCCTGATCCTGAGCCCATCCCAGGAGCTCTGCTTTTAGGCTTGGCTAAATCTAGATATTATTTCTAATAGCACTGAGAAGACCACAGTATCTTGTAAAAAATGATTTCAAAAAACATTTGAGCAGGAAAATTAACCTAAGTAAAGTAACATGACGTTTCAACTACTTCATGTCATCATTGTCAATGAAAAAATTAAAATTAATGGTAAGGCATATTTATAGTGCTTAGGATGTGAGAAAATAAAATTAGTAAACATTGCATGAAAACATTCATGTCAAAAGTTTCGTGTGAATGGAATCCACTTGCGTGTTCAGTTTCGGTCTTTTGCTCTTAATCAACAGCATTTCAAAGATTCAACGTTCGAGTTTGCCACGGCATTTCTTGTGGACTTCAAAGTTCTTAATTAAGTTGCCAGGTGTTAGGGCATGCTCGACCCTGAAATGTTTTCTGATCACGGAATGTTTATGTTCTGCTGCATGATGATGGAGGTGGCGGCAAGTGTACCCAATATAATTTGCATTACACAAATTACATGTGAATTCATACACTACACTTTGCTGGTTTATCATGGGGGGCTTTCCTTCCGCGACTCTCTGATGATCAGCGATCTTTTTGTTTGTGAACACTGGGGTTGCTGATTAATTTTCGTTCTGAGGTCGCCGAGTTGTCTGCAAACCACGTCAGCCGATTTCTGATCTTCAAATTACATCGGGCACACTTGTTTAACTTTTGTAACACCCACCTTGTGCCATGGCTTAGTTGCGATTTGTTTTTCGTGGTTGTTCCATATTATGGCATCATATGGATCTGTTTTGTCTTGATCTATTTCAGGTACCCTTTAAATCCCCTGAAGAGCCCAAGAAGAGACCCAAAACTCTCAGGAGGAAATGTAAAGCAATATGAAAGGATGATGATATATCTCAATCTTAGTCAGTTACCCAACAATACTCACTTGCACAGGCCTCATAGCAATGTCTGTTTTCTCATTCTTTTCATATCCCTGAACATCAGGCAGAGCATTTCTCATCAAAAGTGGAATGGCAATGTGATCATTATCATTTTCTTCCTTATCACCTCCAGAAGCATCTGTGTTAAAATTCATTGAAAAATTAGGGAATACAAATAAAATGTAATGTACATGTACCATTAATATTGACAATAACAAATTATACAACTTACAATATTAATTACTTAATATAAATAAAAATCTGTTACCTAAGAGCTGAGTGCCAGATTATTTCACCAGCTGAAAGAGAACTGATCACTAGCTAAAATCTCATTAGAATTTGAAGACTAAAAGTATTAAATTTAGTATATTGGGCTTCTAACTCATTTCATCAACACCCAAGTCTATCATGGTGAAGCAGACACTTTCAGGAAAGACTCTATTATAATTTAGCAAATAGCCCAAACAAAATATGTGTGCTGAGCAAAGAGAATTTACATTATTTTTGATAATCAAAGTAAAAGCGAGAGCGTAGCTCGAGGAAAACTGTGAGCTTCAAGGTACAGATAATGTCCAAGGACAAATATCTGAGCATATTTTTGCCCCAAATGAGGCTACTGTGTTTATTATTCTTCGAATCTTTTTCACAACGCGCACAGTTTTGAAAATTGTGGAATATTCTCGGATATTCCCCAGTTTTAGTGACTAAAAAGGAACTTTTTAGGTTTAATATTAAATCAGATAGTAATTGTATATATTTTGGGGATCTGGATTTTATACACCATACCTTTTCAGAGTGCCAGTTTACAAAGTCCTTTCCTCAAGAAGTATTACAATGGTTTAATACAGAGAATAACTCTGAATTTAATCTAAACATCGAAGATCTTCTTTTTGGTACTTTTCCAAGTTCAAGTACCTTGATAAAAAAACTGAACTACACCCTCCTCTTTCTGCAGTATTATATTTATAAGAAAAAGCTCCAGAATGACTCACCATTTCTATTGCTTTCCGACTTTATCAACAAAGTTAAATGTAAGTATAAACTTGAAAAAATTATTTAATATTCATAAAAGCTCCTCCATCTGCTATTCTTTAGATTTAATATAATTGTAATATAAGTATGATTCTACAGAAAGATTCATTTTATGTTATTGTAAAAATAGGCTTAGAATAAATGATGTAATAAGTGTTGTAAATGTAAGAAATGATTATTAATTATTATCTATCATACAATAGGCTTATTTCACCTTTCATAAGTTCCTCAGCAGCTTGTCTATCCAAACTTAGTTTAGCATCTGGAGGCAGAATCCATCGATTTTTGGTTTGACAAGGAATCACTTTTTCCCTTGGTTTCTCTTCTGGTTTGATGCTGTCAAGATACAAAGTACATGCACTCATAAACTTATCATCAAACAATTACCCAACAAGTTAGCATACAGTACCGCTCAGAATTAAGCAAACCAAAACTCGCGTTAATAATGTGTTTTGACTTTGTGTTATAGCACATTAAAGTTAACACATCAGATGTATGAGCTTGGTTACTGTTTGCTGCTTTTGTTACTTTGTGAAAGTAAGTTAACAACCTTTTCAAAAGACAACATTCCAAATTAATGTCATGTGTTCCTTCACAGCTGCAAGAGATGCTGTGTAAACAACGTCAATGGAAAACTTTAATTTCATTCATCAGCTGTTTTTTTTTCTTGTATTGAATGAAACTAATCACCTTTTGATATGCTTTAAGTTCTTTGGTGGTTTACCCAAGAAGGCATAGGAATAATTTTCGTCTTCACGTAATTATTAATTTGCTCCAGTCTTTGAGTC